AAGATGTTGGTATCAAGCTGTTCGACGAAATGGATGGAGGTCTTGAACTCTCGGAAGCGTCAAAGACTCGTCAGCAAGAAACCAAGCGACGCCTTGAAGCTGCCATAGCTGCACGAGAATTCTACTCAAAGTCCTTGGGTGTTGCTGTGAAGAACTGTAAGGCTCCGATGTGTCTCGTATGCAAGAAAGCCACAGTGACGGCAGGATGCCCAGGATGCTTTTCATTTTCCAGCAAGAAATTTCTTGAGGTTGAGGCCTCTAAAGTTACGCAACGACTCAAAACGCCAAAGACATCTTTTCAAGAAGAAGAGGATGTACGCGCTCGACACAAGGCTTTACAAAGGCAAATCATCATGCCGCCCTTGCTACCCAGCCTCCATTCGTCTCGTACGGATGCGGATCCATCTCATATTACGCCCCACGAGAATGAAAACAACTTCTACTTGACCGTTCTTCCTGATTTTCAAGCAATTCGCAAGTACAGATCGCTGTAAGTGCCCTGGGCGTACTGGAGTTTTCATAAGACTGACGATAACTGTGTTACTGCTGGCTTTAGCTCGAATAAGTTCATCACATTGCACATCAAGAGCTTGCCGGTTGGTCAGGTATGCTGCGTGAACATGCCCGAGTAGCATACATATTCAACCTCGCGCTGACATTTTACTCGTGTGTTAGTTGATATCCTTGACTGTAGATCTCAAAAGCTCAGTGTCGTACTTGTACGAACTCTATCGTGCCAACACGGAGCTACCCAACCGACCTTTGCATCTACTGCTGCCAACCACACACGGCCTGTTCTACCTCAACGAGCATATTGCGTCTGCTACGTACACAAGAAACGGAGTCGTCAATGGAGAGCTTCTCCTTCAAGACTTCAACCTACAGAAGTCAATACCTCGTAGCGATCGTGTCGACGCTGCTGGTGACAGCAAGAACAGCCAGTTTTTGCTGTTTGCAGTGGCCATACTACACCCTCAAAGCACGCCGCAGCTTGTTCTGAACTATGTGCAGCAGAACTTTCACTTCAAGCCACCAGAAAGCCGAGCGCCCAGCCCGCTCGTGATCTCGGTGGACAGCAAAGACAACAGTGGATTGCCTCAATGGTCACGTCTGGTTCCAGCTACCTTCCTCCTCCCAAAGGCTGTAGATCAAGACCCGTTCCAAATCCAGATCCGACCGCATATCCACGCGATGCACGTATTCGCCAAAACAAATTATGCCATAGTTGCTGCGGAGCAACGAGAAGAGCGAGAACGATTGCTGCTACTTGCTCACCAAGAAGCCAAGGCAGCCAAGCTCGCGTTGAAGAAGAACCTTCGTGATCAGCAGACACCTACTGTCTCGATCAAGGTTCGACGAGCATTGGCGTACTTTGAATTCATCTACGAGAGTACCAGCAATCCCCGTCAGTCTCGCGTCGCTGAGGAGCGGCTGGGTAAGCTGTGGCAGTTCGTGCAGATGCTGGAAGAGTGGAAGATCCTCAAAGGTGGCCGCTTGCTGGACATCGAACGCTCGGACGTGACGATGTCATTGATGCAACAGCTTAAAGAAACCGCGTCAGTGGCGTTCAACCAGATGATGTTCGGCTCAAAGACTGACAAAGCAGGAGGCACTCTACCGTACCCTGTACTTTGCCTCGAAGGTAGTGGCACTACAAGAAAGCTCGTACTGCGGCTGGGATCTAGGATGGGCGTCACGCCGCAAAATGACCACGATTATGGCATGGTGCTCGATCTTGACCAAGACTTTGAAGCACTCGAGAGAGAGGAACCCAAGCGAGGATACATGAAGCGAGTATCTGATCAAGGCGAACACATGGTCGTGGACTGGTATGATGCCGAGTGGAGAAACAAAGGCAGGAGCTCATCGACGATGGCGTTGCTGGTCTCAAGCTCCGATCTTCTGTCTCCTCCGTTCTATCGGATCAAATGGCCATTGATCGTCAAGGCGTACAAGCTGGTGGTGAAGAAAGTAGCGTTAGTCAGTTCGAAGCTCGATGAGTTCAATTGCTTAGCCAGAGTATTGCAAACTACCGATGCGGTACTCAGCAAGGCGCAGCTCGCTCAGTGGCAGGCCGATGTGGACCATTTTCTCGCTACAATACACGAGAACTGCGCTCTAGCTCGAGCGGTACAACGCGTGCTCTGCAAGAAAGGCGTTGCTGTACTCAAACGCCGAGCACAAGCACGACGTAAGCAGCTGCGAGATCGCGAGAAGGAGCTAGAGCGCTTGCGAGAGCTGCAGCTGGAGCGTGATCGACCGAAATTGACGCTGGCGCAGCAGCTTAAGGTCGCGTTTATGAAGGAGAGGGCGCCCAAGATGCGCGAGGCGGTGGAGCTCACACCAGCCGAGAAATTGGGCGCGAAAGCCGGTGAATTCTTGGGTAAGGCTGCGTCAGGAGTGGCCAAGGCGGCCCGCCAGGCCAAGAAAGAATACGCAGTGCGCACACTCTAGCAGAGCTCAGAGGGCTTCATTTAATTATTAGTACGACCTGAGGCTGCGTCTGCACTGCAAGGAGGCTGGCACCTGTCAGAGGTTTGGAACGTCGTCTCTCTGTCTGCTTAGTCCTTGTGGCCGGCGTCGCTCTGCTCTTGCTGCATGGCCGCCTCATGTGCTGCCCGTCGGTCGATGTTGCGCTTCACCAGCACGCCGAAGCCGCGCGTCACGTCCGCCAGCGCGAAGGCAGTGACCAGTACCAGACCGCCCGTCACTGTCTTGTGCAGAATGTCCGCCACCTTGCTGGAGCTCGACATGAGTGTTAATCGATGGATGGCGTTTCTATTGGGAAATGAAGCAGAGGTCACCAACCAACTCCGTCGTAATTGATAACATGGGGTATCAGATATTACGGGCTCGTTAAAGTTTTTAAGCTTCAACTTGCCGCAGATTTATCATTTGTTCCAACGGCGCCATTGACGAGAATTCACGAGAACATGATGCTGCGAGCTGTTGGTAGCAAGACCGGAAGAGCTATAGCTCTTCGTTCACTAAGTGTACCGGCGTACACTCCGGATCTTAAGTCCGTAGCGGAGAAACCGAAGCCTGTCAAGTACTTCAAGATCTACCGATGGAATCCGGAGACCAAGGAGAAACCATTTGAGTCGACATACCCTGTGGATTTGAATGAATGCGGACCAATGGTGCTGGACGCGTTATTCAAGATTAAGAACGAACAGGACCCGACACTGGCGTTCCGACGCTCGTGCCGCGAGGGGATCTGTGGCTCGTGCGCCATGAACATCGATGGTGGGAACACACTTGCCTGCGTGAACCCCATCACGAAGAACAAGGACGTCGTTCGCATTTATCCGCTGCCGCACATGTTCGTTGTTCGCGATCTGGTGGTGGATTTGAGCAACTTCTACGACCAGTACGCGTCGATTGAGCCGTGGCTGCACTCCGTCAAGCCTAAGAGTGCAGGAGTTGAGCACCTGCAGTCTATTGAGAACCGCAAGAAACTGGACGGGCTGTACGAATGTATCCTCTGTGCGTGCTGCAGCACGGCATGTCCGAGTTACTGGTGGGCGCAGGACAGGTACCTGGGCCCGGCAGCGCTTCTGCAAGCGTTCCGCTGGATCGAGGATTCGCGTGATGATCGCACCGTCGAGCGGCTACAAGCGCTGGACGACGCGTTCAAGCTCTACCGCTGCCACACTATCATGAGCTGCACGCACACATGTCCAAAGGGACTCAATCCAGCGCAGGCCATTCGCAAGATCATGGGTCGGCTCAACGAGATGCAGATCCCTGGCGAGTAGAAGGCGAAAAAGGCAACTATCAGTTTAAGCGAGGAAAACCTTCTTATGCAAATAATTGCGTAGTTATGTGACCAGCGAATGTGGGCCACATCACCGGAATTTGAAGGATAATCTTGAAACCTATGAAGATGACTAGGATATTCCATTCCAGAAGTTCATTACCAACATTCTGCCTAGTTGGTGTGACCACGCTATTCGGGTGCGCCATTCAGAGCCTCCCACCATTGCAAACAAGTTCCCCCGGCGCCACTCAGAGCCACAGAACAGACACGTGAACATGGCGGCTCGATTCCTCAACCGTGTGGCCGGCATCGGCGCTACCGTCGGCATCGGCGGATTCTGCCTTCAGGAGTGCATCTACGACGGTAAGCTCGCGTCTACTCTGTCTGTTGCGTCCTGCGTCTTCTTAGCCTCGCAGGGTCTTATGATGTGGAAAAATCAATCCTACACACCCCGACAAATTCTTAACTGACATCTTATGTTGTTATAACTTCCAGTGGACGGCGGTCACCGCGCTGTGATCTTCGACCGTAAGGACGGTATCCTTGACAAGTCCGTGGGCGAGGGTACGCACTTCAAGATCCCCTTCTTCCAGTACCCGACGATTCTGGACGTTCGCTCCAACTACCGTCTCATCAGCTCGCGCACAGGAACTAAGGACCTGCAAAACGTTAACATCTCGCTGCGTTGCTTGTACCGACCAAATGCTGAAAAGCTCTCGCACATCTACGCCGAGTACGGCGCTGACTACGCCGACCGGATCCTGCCGTCCGTGGGTAACGAGGTGCTTAAGTCCATCGTGGCTCAGTACGACGCCGTGGAGTTGCTGGCCCGTCGTGACCAGGTGTCGCGTCAGATCGCCAAGGAGATGAACGACCGTTGCCGCAACTTTTTCCTGCTGCTGGACGACGTGTCCCTCACCCACCTCGAGTACGGCCCGGAGTTCACCCGTGCCGTCGAGCAGAAGCAGGTTGCCCAGCAGGATGCTGAGCGTCAGAAGTTCGTGGTTATGCGCTCTGAGCAGGAGCGTAAGGCTACTGTCATCAAGGCCGAGGGTGAGTCCGAGGCTGCCCGTCTCGTGTCTGACGCCGTCGCCAAGAGCGGCTCTGGTTTCATTGAGGTCCAGCGTATCGACGCCGCTCGCGAGATTGCTGAGACGCTCGCCAAGTCGCGCAACGTCACGTACCTGCCCAACCAGGAGGGTGGCAACGGCGGCGTGCTTCTCGGTCTGCAGTAAGCGCAGCTGCGTTGCGCTTGCGATGGATGGTCGATTCTGAGCTAGTTCGCAGGGTTTGCTCTCCTGTCGTGGTTGCTGTAAGGAAACCGTAGGATATTGGTGCTAGATGAAAGAGACGGAACCAATAAAGCAATACACGGAGACAAATGCTGTACATATGAAGGAAAGTTCGCTTGTCTACCAGTGACGTTGCCATCGATCTTTTTAACACTTCACAGTTTTACAGCAATTTACAGTATACCGTCATTTTTAAACTTCATGTCTCTTTAACTGTAGTGAATGCTGTCCAACTGATTCCGCACTCGCGAAGCTATCCGCGATGACTAGCTCGGAGCGCGACGCCGAGTGGCTCAAGTTTTCGATGCTGTGCAGCGAGCTGCGCAGCGTCAAGAACTCCAAAGGCGTGGCGGGTGCCGTGGAGAAGGTGCAGTCCTTCCTGAGCGACGACCGCAGCCGCCAGCTTGTGCACCGCTGGCGCAGCTGGGGCTTCCTGCTCAACTGCCTCTTGCACGTACTCAAGGAGGAGATGCGCGTGTACCTTAACATCGGAGGCGCTGGCCGCAAGCGCAAGTCGAGTGTGCGTCCGAAGATGCCACAACTGCGCTACTGGCACTACCTGCGTACGGAATTGGAGACAGCACATGTATCGGCGGACGGACCCATGTTACATCTTGACCCCAATGGGAGGGACTGTATCTGCCAGCTATTCACCTTCTCAGTGGCTGTAATCGACCGTCAGACGTCCATAGAGTTCGACCAAAGCTTCGAGACGCTCGTGGACAAGGAAGCGTGGCTTACTGTGGAGGTTCTGGTGCAGTATCGCGTGTATTGCGCCGTGCTGGACTACAATGACTGGAAAAACATGTTGCAGCTGGCACTGGGCAGTATTTCCCCTAAATTCGATGGGAATTTGATCGGAGATGCAGATACAGCGGCAACACGGGCCAGAGTGATCAGGCACCTGGTGAGAAACTGTCCGTTCGACTTGAATGGAGACGTATTGGCAGGATTGGTGGAGGAGATTGAGAACTGGTTTGAGGCTGGTAAAGGGGAGTCCATGGAGAGAGATACCGATAGCTTATTGCTGGTAATTGCGTCGACGCTGCTGGAGACGCTGACGGACCTGATGAGGACGTATTTCGAATCTATGGGGCCGTATTTATTGAAACGTGGAGTTACTATATTGAAATATATTGTCAAGTCGAACAAAGCTAGAAAGAACGGGCTGCGAGGAGCTCCAGCGGAGTTTTTAATGCTGTTTTTCGAGCTGTACCGGCATAACGAGGCTCCAGAGCCCGAGTTTTGTTACCTACCTCCTGCTAAACTACTGCGCGAGATGAAGAAACTGATTCAGGTGGCGATGGGGACAGATGAGATCAATTTGTTGATGACTCACTTTAATTCAGCAAGGGAACAGCGACTGGGTAATGCACTGGGTATTGATGACCAAGGGATAAGGCACTTGGCGTGTACAGCAGACATTATCTTCTATCATGACTGCTTGGTGTCGGATCGGATGCAGACCAGTGGCTCGTTAGCGCAAGATGAAGACTTGTTCGACCCAGTTGTTGTAGGTAGCAAGCGTCCGAGATCTATCTCTAGTGTTCTGGCGTGGGAGACTGTTGTTGAACAGTTCTACGATAGCCCGCGGACAGATACGCAGTTGATGACAGCGAGCTCAGCTTCTCCTGCATCTCAGCGACATTCGTCAAGTGTATCGTATTTATCAAGAGGTTCGACGCAGGTCCTGCGAACTGAAACAAAGCAGATCAACGACTCGGGCTCATGGTTGCTCTTGCTCTTGTCGATTTTAAGTCGCCACGGCGATTATTACGTGAGTAATCGCATTGGAGATTTAATGATGGTGATGCAGAAGCTCAGCGATATGCTGATCGTGAAAGAAATGGGCAAGTGGCAAGCACTGACACTGCAGATTCTAATTCAATTGGCTTCTCTCTCGGCTCGACATCGTGAAGAATGTGACGGTAATCTGAACGAGCACTGGGCGAGTGTGTGGCGCAATTTACTGCGTCCCGAACTTCCATACACTCGCGTTACTGAGGGAATAGGATTGATGCGAGGTCAAGCTGGTGACGCTGTGCTAACGCTGATTAATTGCTGTATTTCTTTCGGGCTTGTCTCGGAGGATATTATCGAAACTAGCAGTTTAGTACTGTGGAATTTACCTGCCTTTCGTCAGCCAAGCGCAGACACTCCGGTGTCGCGTGGAGACCGGATGAGGCCATACGCGAGAACTACGATGGCTTCCGTTTGCACTTTGCTCTCGCTTCTTCGTCGTGTACAAGTGCCAGCTGGAACCATCTTGTCTACAACAACATCGCAGGGATCTGATGTTTTATCGCTTGGCGAAGAGATATTTAGAAGCGAGCATGAATCGGTGCAGACAAAACTTCTGCGATCTGTATTTGATCATCTCCGTGCTCAAGTGTTTCGTAGGAACACGACACTGGCCGAAAAGTCAGCAAGCTCATTCACCAAAGTAGATTGGCAGACAGAGCTGTCTCCTTTGGTCTATGCTTCAGTCATCCAATCATTCTTTGGACTAAAGAGCTCATCGGTGGACAGAAGGGAGATGATTTTCACGCCTGAATTGATTCGCAAGCTGTCTGCGAGAAATGTCGACGAGTGCGACAGCTTTATTACTGGGGAGGAACTCAATGGCTTCGGCGTAGCGTTCTGCATGCTCGAAACTGGCCTCGACCATCTTTCAATGTCTTTCCCACAGTCAACAGGCGTCAAACTTGCAGCCTTTTCTCCACCAATTCACGCACTTGTTGCCAAGAGTATTGTTGCTGGCGATTCCAGCTGGTACGATGGAGTTAAGTCATGTGTGGCGAAAACCGATGACCAGTTTGAGAGACTTGCTGTGCCGACCGGATTGATGAAGAAGCTGATCCCACCACGATATTCAAACCGCCTCCTATCGCGTGACTGCTTTTGCCGAAATGCTTACGCTCAATCAATCTCGACTAAACGAGTGGCTGCACTTCAAACAGAAATCGTCAACTCCTTTTCAGATTTGCTGTCGGAAATATCAAGCAAATTGCCCTCGGGTGGCTGCAATCCGATTAAAGGTTTGTGCGTGCTGTCGAACTCACTTGACGTTGGACTCGTTCTCGCTGCACTCTATGCCGAAGATGGTTCGGATTGCTCGATGGGGAAGGAGAATCGCCTTCGTGTGCTTCCGCTGCTCAAGCAGTTCTTTGAAATTGTTGCGAACTACTTGAAGCCAAGCGTGATCAAGCAAGCACAGCAAAGTCAGTCTATGTCGGAAAGCGTGCTACATGCATTGAGAAAACTGCACACAGTCATCCTAATCTCCCAAGGTCGGCAAACGTTAGAGAAATGCCGTCACCCGACAGCAGATCCGATTGAATTACGCACTCCACCTGATCTCCGCCCGTCGATTAGAGCGATTGTCAGCATGCTAGAGGAATCCCTAGCTTTCCTCTGTGGCGGTAGTGATCCTCCGATACCGACACTGTCTTGCCCACGTACTGGGTTTAGTTCACTTCGCGGTACTTCGCGATGGGAGTCAACAATACACCGTCCATCGCCTTCGCAGTACCAAAGCCAGTCGACACAAAAATATTGGGATGTCATGGATGACAGGTACGTAAAAAAAATGATATTATTCTATTGTTTTATCTCACTCGTTGTGTGCCAGGGAGGAAGATGACATTGCACGTGATCGTCCCCCGAGTCGTGTGGTCCAGAAGAGCATTGCCTTGTGGTGTTTCCGCATGATTTTGCTTCTCAAAAAGGACAGTGGACTCTCGTCGGTGAAAAAACATGTGCAGGCGATTCAGTTTGATCCCGATTTTGTGCTGGCAGCGGCAGTTCTTCTGTGTGGTGTTACTGGGTCTGAGAGCCTGGAAGCATTCATCACACTGATTGACTATGCAGCAGAGGAAGGCATGCGAGATAGCGGCTCTCTTTCAATCACGCGCGGAGGAAGTTGTAGGGCAGCAATTTTCCTCTCTCAAGTGTTGTCTGCTCTACTTCTCTCCGGGTTGGTGCATGAAAAGCGCAAATATCTGCATGACGAGCAGCCTCCTGGGATCCTAGTGGAGTGCGCAAAGAAGCATTTAAAGTCCATGAGTGATCTGGCACTTAAGAAGAGCGTACGGATGGCTCGTAAGGCCGAGTTGCAGTGTCTGGAGGTGTTTTTTCGTCTCAACTCGCGTGAATTCAACGACTTTGAGGACTTATGCGTGGATGGCTTGACCGACAGTGACACGAGCGTACGTTCCATTGCGGCACGTGGACTGCAGACTGTGTATTATATGTATCCTGAAGGCGGCGAGAAGATATGTAAACACTTTTTCAAAGTGCAGGAAGCATTGCTAGACGCACCTGCGAACTCGGACAACGGTGGAGAACAGCAGAATCATGGAAGACCAGGAAGTCTTGATCCTCGCCTTAGTATAGACGCATGCTTACCGGTGTTACTGAGTTTGTATGTGAGCGCGTGCTCGTCCCAGACTGCTCTTCCTGAAGTTCTTAACGCGTACGTTGAGATGGCATCGATGACAATATCGCTGTATAGTGTGGGGACCCCATCGCTGATTTCACAGTGGTTAAAAGCGATCGTGGAGTTCTATGGGTATAGAAGTGTGTCAGACCTGCTGGACGATCACTTCTGCGGTGTGTGGCACCGCTTTATAGCTGCGAGCCATAGATCAGTACCCCAGGACGATGATGAAGACAGGACAGAGTGGATGAAGAGTGACTCGTTATCCCCTCTTCCTGATGGGAAATCTTTGTTGCAGCAGTTCCCGCTGTCAATTTTACTCGGGGAGGAGCTGGACACGAATGCTCAACGAACGCAGTACGTGAAGAAACTGGATATGATTATTCCGATCGGTGTGCTTCACAGCTTCATATCAAGAGATCGCTCAGGGTCAAAGAGAGAGTTTGAGTTTGTGGTCGAACTTCTATCGTGTTTTTCAGTTGATGACGAGAAGCAGCCTGAGTATGTGATCTCGGAGATTGACGCGCAGTTAACCACGGATTTATTCGCGTACTCATTCATCTTGTTAGCCCATCCTGACCCGGAGCTGAAAAAATTAGCGCAGGATATGATTGAAGTCGCAGAGGAAAGAGCACAAGTGGGTACGCTATCGTTATCGCATCTCGGACATATTGCAAGCAAGATGGCACGCTTTATGGTGTGGAACATTATACAGGGAAACGATGACGAGCTTCTTTCCCAAAGCGAGCTGTGGAAGGATGCACTGAAAGCCATGAAAGAGAAATACTCCGAGTTTGATTGGAAGCTGATCAATTTGGCAGATCTACTGAGCGAGTTCTACGTGCTTTTATTACGCACAGAACTGTTTGATCCAAGGGCGGAATATGCAGTGGATTGCTTCAAGATTTTCGTCGTGGAGACTTGTGATGCAGTGGCGGAAAGTCCGTTGCTGCAGCATCTACTGCTGTCGATATGCTTCCAGTCAATAAAACACTTGGCTGTTAGAAATCGGAAAAGAATTGGAAGAGTGCTGGCTCTACTTGTTCGTGAGAGTTGCGAAGGCTTTATGAAGAGAGCCGATATGTTCGGGAAATATCTCGGCTTTGTGGTGCAAGAAATCAGCGATATTTTATCCAAGTGCAACAAGTCTACTCACAAAACACGAGTGTGCTTGAGCGCTGACGAACAAGCAGAGTTGGAGTGGGTTATCTTTGCCATATGCAATGACTTGGGCAGTGGACTTGGCAAGTATGCACTTGACATTGACATCGTCCCGGATGGTATTTCAGCGAGTCTGGACAAGCTGAACGCGCTAATTATCAATAGTCGGAAGATTGTTTCGTCAGAAGTGAGCCACAAAGAAGGCAGAACTAATCTGCCACGCCCGTTAAGTGGAGGCAGACGGAACCAAGCGAAGCAGAAGATACAGATGTTCATTCAAAGAGAACAATTACGTGGGGCCAAGTTCTACAACCAGTTACCATTTAGCGGCATGCCAAGTGTGATCTCTGAGAAATCGACTGTCAAAGTTTCAGCTCAAACTCCATCGAGTTTCCTAACAGACGTGTGTTTGTCAAATGTGACTTCGAGTATCGATACGGTACGAGATTCGAGCGGATGTAGCAGGAAGTTGTTTGGGAAACTTGCTCATACTTTACTGTATCTGAGCTCTTCTGGTACCTTTGGTAGTGAGAACTGCAATCGAGGGGAGGGCATGGCGAGTCTTGCAGATGCTTTGGGTGAACTTGGAGCGCTGGATGCCAGTGAATACGAGCTGAGTCCTTCCGAACAGGACGGAGATTTGTCACGGTTATATCGAAGACACTTCCGTCGAGGTGCACTTCGAGAAATCAAGACGACTTACTCTTTGGTGATGCATGAGAACATGCTCACGTATTTAAGCTCATTGTTTTACGAGGGAGCAAGATCTGGAAATGTGGATCCAACAGTACTGGAGGAGACGCTGAAGACTCTGAAAAACGTGCTCAGTGTTGACGAGGGCGTGGCAGCCTTAGCCCGAAGTAAAGATGGTGAATTGAAAGACTTTCTGGAGCCCTTTGTAAGTTCGTCGCCTTCCAATTGGTCGTCAGCTGCTCCACATTACAGTGGGGGTTGGAATCTGAAGCCGAGACGTACATTCCAACAATTTCTTGAGCTTTGGACGTCTGCACAGGAGCTAGGCTTCAAAGCGTGGGTTTGTTCGTTAACTGCTTGCTTGTCCAGAGAATCGCCAGATCCAGTGTTGAAAGCCTGTTCCGCGTTGTGTACCATGCGTATGGACTTGGCAGTTTTCCTCTTTCCGTATGCGCTGGAGAGCACTCTGAGAACGACTGATGACGCAAAGAACTCTAAAGATGAGACGAAGACGGACAGCACTGGAAAGGAGGAGTCTCGGATAGCGAAAGCTGCGAACCAAGGTGTCAGATTTGTCTTGACTGGGTCAACAGACAGCGGTACCAATTCATCGGATGAGTCAAGTAATTCTCAGCCACTTGAAGCCGTGCAGCTTGTTGTTCACAGTATCAATTTTCTTCGGGAGACGGAAAAGGCTCGCTTTGTGGAAACGAACGGCAGAGGTCAACAGAGATCTGCAGGGAAAGAAAAAGGGCCCAAGCGTTTATGTAATGGACAACCAAATCATGACCTGGCTTATGGTTGTTTGGTCGATGTGGATCTCCTTGCTATCGCAAAGGCTGCGGTACGAGTCAAGATGCCGTATTCAGCGATGCAATACGCGGAGATGTGGCTTGAAAAGAAGAACGGTGGGAAGATCACATCGTTGCCGTCGTTGGATGATGAAAAGGGGAGTACTCTCCGTGATATTCTGGTTGAGGCCTACAGCTTTGATAGCGATGATGATGGGATCTACGGTGTCAACGATGGACGCACGATGAAGTCGCAGTTGGTGAAGTACAACCGTGAGGGCGAATACGCCAAGGCTCTTCCGCTTTACGATGTCTCGCTGCAGTTTTCGCTTCGGACCGGCGAAGAGTTGGTGACTAGTAACCAGCCACGCCTTGTGGAAGGTATACTGACGTCTTTGCATTCGCTCGGGTACAACCATTTGCTAGAAGGTTATCTGCAGTCATTACAGCGCAACGAATTTGGCGAAAGTACTAGCTCCGCTTCTGCTCAAGCCTTAGAGAACAAGTACAAACTCGCCTGGAAGAGTATGCAGTGGGAAGCCGTACTACCTACTCGAACTAGTGTGACGACCACGGCGAGTTTTTCACAGCAGCGGACGATTTATCAAAGTCTGCAAGCGATAGCCCACGGTGATTTCTCGCACTTGCAACGCGTGACGGCAGACGCCAAGGAGCAGATTTTGCAGTCTGTTCAATTGAGTTTACGCTCGTTTGAAAGCACCAAAGATTCCTACTCAGCATTGGTGAATCTTCAGGCCATCCACGAGATTGAAGAGCTGGCGAACGCTATTAGGGAACTAAAATCTACTCGAGATGCGTCCATTCTCTCGACTAGGAGCATAACAGGATTGAGGCCGTATTCATCGCTGGATGAAGCACTAGTCGCTCCTCGAGTAGAAGCACTGACAGCGATGCCGTTGCTGGCACGATGGCAACAACGACGTGGACAGATCAAGAACGACTTTGATAAGGCTGAAAGTCTGCTGGCACTCGAAGAAATCCTCTTGCAGGTCTCAAAGCCGTCAGATGGCGCTCAAGTGATCACCAAGTTGTATCTGGATCTTGCTTCACTCAGTCGCAAAGCTGGACGGACAGCAGTGGCTTACAGAGCTTTGCTGAAACTCGAACAACTCGAGGCATGTGGATCCTTGAGCATCTACGAGGCGATGCAATGGCGGATACAGAAAGCCAAACTGATGTGGAAACAACAAGAGTTCCGCAGTGCCATATGGACCGGCAAGAAGATCTCCTCCGACTTGACTACATACTTACAAGATTCAACTCTCTCTACGACTGAAATGACGTCTTTGCAGTTGCTGCAAGTGAAAGTTCTGACGATCACAGGCAAATGGATTGCATCTCAGCGCTCAGAAAGTTCACAAGTTATTCTCGAGGAATTCTTTTCGAAAGCTACGGAGATCATCAGCGGTATGGACACTGAAGCGGTCTCAGACCGATCAAGAGATGCAGCAAAGGCACATTTTGCGTTAGCGGAGTTCATGGCTGGGATGTATCAGCAAGTGAGTGCTCGCGTGACGTCGCGGGAGTGGCTAGCAGGTAAGAAGGTGGTACAAGCTCGACACGATGAGCTACAAGAGCTGCAGACAATGGAGCAGACCATGCAGAACGAGAATCGAGCGCATATTCACGCTTTAAACAAAGAAGTTGTTCATGATATGAACGAGAGATCGAAAGTGGAGGCGTCGGTGGACCAGTTCTTGATTGGCGCTCTGTGCAGTTACGGTAAGGGGCTGACATTATCATCACAAGCGGAACTGGACATGGTCTTCCGTGTCCTGTCGCTGTGGCTCAACAACCAGCGAAAAGCGGATATCAATCGCGTGTTCATCGAAGAGATGATCGACATGGTGCCCTCGTACAAGTTCGTGCCTTTGTCGTACCAAATTATATCGCGTATAAGCAGTTCTAGCGACACTGGCACGTTCCAAACGGCTCTCCGTAAACTGGTGATGAAATTGAGTGTACAACATCCACATCACACACTGGTACAACTCATCGCACTAAAGAATAGTGGAGATGTGGAAGGCAAAGGAGCGTTGCAGTTCCGAACGAATGTTGGAGACGCAAAGGCTGAAGGCGCGAAAGTGTATTTGACCGAGTTGATGAAGACAGAACAGCGAGAGCTCCTGGAATCGCTCGACAGCATGGCGAACGCATACATTCAGTTAGCGTTGTTTGACACCAGTGAGTATCATGGCCAGAAGAAGAAGATTCCTCTGTCGAAAGTGACAATATTCGAGACGAATTCGGGGAGATCAGGGGCTACACCGTTTGATCAGTGTCTTCGAGTACGTGCTCGACGTGGAGAGTCTGTGGTAATGCCGGCGGTGTTGACGTCCACTATTGCACCTCAAGCTGACCTGGACTACTCGAATGTGGCACGAATGTACAATTTCGAGCCCCAATTTTCCATTACGGATAGCGGTATTCATCGCCCAAAGATTATTTATTGCTACGGGTCAGATGGTGAGCGATACAAACAGCTAGTGAAGGGCCAAGACGACACTCGACAAGACCTTGTGATCGAGCAAGTATTCGAGACAATGAACCAGTTTTTGAGCGAGGAGAAAGCGACTCGTAATAGGAAATTGCGACTGCGTACGTATCGAGTCGTGCCGCTATCACCTATCGCCGGCGTGTTGGAATGGGTGGAGAATACACTGCCGTGGGGATCGTATCTTGTCAACCGAACGTCCAAAAGATTGTCAGCTCATGAACGGTATCATCCTCACGAATGGAAACACACCGAGTGTCGTCAGTATCTGAAGAATGCACCTGATAAACTGACCGCTTTTATGGAGATCCAAAAAAATTTCACGCCAATTTTTCACCATTTCTTTTTGGAGAAATTCCCTGATGCGGCGGTGTGGTATCGCCGTCGATTGGCCTATGTGCAGAGTGCAGCAGTCACGTCCATTGTCGGCTATATTCTGGGAATTGGAGACCGTCACTCTCAGAATATTCTGATCCATGAAGAGACCGGAGAGCTGGTACACATTGACTTTGGCGTTGTGTTTGACCAGGGTATGGCTCTGTACACCCCAGAGACTGTCCCTTTCCGACTCACTCGTGACATGGTGGACGGTATGGGCGTATCAGGGGTAGACGGTGTGTTTTCTCGTTGCTGTGAAGTCACACTGCAGTTGCTGCGAAAGAAAAGCGCCTCTGTTGTCACTATTCTCGAGGTTTTTGTGCACGATCCACTGTATCGCTGGACCCTGTCGCCGTTGAAAGCTCTGCGGATTCAAGGGGGAGAACAGGGGTCAAAGTCTATGCGCTCACGGAATTCGAGTCGGAATAGTAGCTTCAATGGGACCGGCAGTACAGATGGACAACTGGAGGAGGAGATGCACTCGGAACCTGGCAGTACTGATGCTGCGGCTCGAGCGTTGATTCGTGTCAAGCAAAAACTTGAGGGATATGAGGACCCAAATGGCAGTGCGTTAAGCATCGAAGGACAAGTGAAACAGCTGATGAGTGTAGCTCAGGACCCACACAATCTCTGCAAACTCTTTCCAGGGTGGGCTCCATGGTTGTAGGGCAGTTGTAGGAGGTTGATCAATGGTAGCGTTAGATAACAGGAGGTTGAAAAACTGTATTTCAGTAAATTATTGGGTCGTGCAATAAAAACTATTATTTGAACGATAGGATTATATTAGAATCCAGCTAAACGGAATGAGAGCGAGTGTCACGCGTGAGCCTTGCTGATCCTCAGCGAGGTGTCCATAGTGGTTACCACTAAGTGGTGCTTGCTATGAAATGTACAGACTCCTGATACTCGGAAAGATGTACAAGTACACCGATTCGTTTACCATATCAACATCGTTGCCTCAGCCGAATCACTGAAGATACCAATAATGAATTCGGTAGCTGTGAATCTACTCTCGCCAGTCCTACACTCAAAGGTATGAATTTACGCCAAAAGCTGCATCAAGAACGTGGCTATTTCGTATGTGAATGTCAACTACGTGTAGTTGTGGAATCAAGCAGCGTGACACCCGTGGAGTGGCATCTGGCAAAGCAAAATGCATATACTGGCCCCATACATGTAGATGGATGTACGCATTCTTCACGGTCTCCTGAAGAGCGTTGTCAGGGATTGAATGCCGACGTGGGTTGCACATCTTTACTTTTGATTCCTAGATCGTGGTAATGTCGTCTTTTATTAGCAGTGCCCTCGACTGATGAATCTTGCAAAAAGAGGCGGAGACTTGCACCCGCTCAAAGATGATACTTTGGTGCATCTAGTGCCACTGAAGCAGTGAATGATTAATCGGTTCTCCAGGTCAAGTGAGAAGTGGTCTACGCTCCAATGGCCTTCGTCAATGCAAGCGACGTTCTGTTATTTGTAGCAGCTTTGCACGATAACGAATCTCTTCCACAACTTCGTTTTTCGACTCGACTGTTCTGTGTGTGTGTGAAGAATGGAGCGTTTCCTCTCTACTCCATGAAAAGCCACGTCGTCCAGCCACACATCGCACTGCAGATTCCAACTTGTAGACACCAACCAATTTAACGTTTACCCTGGTATACCCCGAATCTAGTCAGCCAAGCCACTCAACGCATCCTCCCGCAGAAACAGAGTTAGGCGATTTAATCAGAGATTAAATCGCCCTATTAAATCGACTAACACCTTACCACGCCTTCTTGTTGCCTTCAAAAGTCCGAGAGCGAATAACTGTTCATTTCCAATTTCGCCTTCTGTCACTCAAGTCCCAATCCCCACTAGCAACGGCCGCATACTATGGCCATCCAGACGCCAGCTCCAGTGGGTGAGGCTGTGGTACTCACCCCCACCGCCAACGACGACCCTGCGTTCAAGTACGACTTGAAAGAAGACGACCCGAAGAAGAACTAGATGAAGAGACGTACAAGAAGAAGACGCTGCAACAGAAAATCCTCTGGGGTGTCTTCTACACCATCGCGTCGCTCGCGTCTCTCTACTTCTTCATGGTCGCCGTCAAACTCATTGGCGACGGGTTCACCCTTGCATTGGGCTGTGACGCCAAAGGAGCCTTCGACTTCGCCAATAACCCCGTTGCCGGACTCATGATCGGCACCATCTCCACTGCTCTACTACATAGTTCGGGCACGGTGACGTCTATCACTGTCGCTCTCGTTGGTGCCGGGGGAATGACCATCCGCCAAGGTGTCTACGTCGTTATGGGAGCCAATATCGGTACCTGTGTCACGTGTATCATGGTGGCTTTCGGTCAAGTTGGGGACCCCATCCGCTTCCAACGAGCCATGGCAGCGGCCACCGTGCACGACATGTACAACATTTGGTCCGTGATCGTCATGTTCCCGATCGAAGTGCTGTTCCATCCTCTAGAGAAGATGTCGATCGAGATGTCCAATGCCAAAACAAACGGAGGTGCGTTCAAAAGCCCCGTGGATGCGATCGTCAACCCCTTGACGCAAGAGATCTTGGTGGTGGACAAGAACTCCATCTACGACGTCGCTACTGGTGACTTGGAGTGCATGTCAAACACGACTTTCGTCAAAGGTGGCGCCTTTGAAGATTCAAGTATGAGCGACGGCAGCATTGGCGCTATTGTCATTGTAGTGGGTTTCGTTATTCTGGTCTGTGCATTGGTGACGCTGGTCAAGATGCTCGCCAAGGTGTTCTTGGGACCTACGAAAAAGCTGATCTCCAAGCTTCTCAACTACAACGGATACGTCAACATCTTTGTAGGAACGCTGATCACATTTGCGGTTCACTCGTCAACGGTAGTGACATCGACGTTGACTCCCATGGCTGGGTTGGGTGTCATTACCCTAGAACAAGTCTATCCTTTGGTAATTGGAGCCAACTTGGGCACGACGGGCACTGCTCTACTGGCGTCTCTGGTGACGGGTAAAGCGGACTCGGTGGCTATTGCTCTGGTTCACTTCTGGTTCAACGTGTTCGGTATCGTCTTGTTCTACCCGATTCCGATCACACGCAAACCGATTCTGGGTTGGGCACGTTCACTGGCGTATTTCAGTGCTTCGTGGGCTTGGACTGCTGCCCTGTTCCTCATCTTTTTATTCCTGGTAATCCCGGGAATCCTGCTGGGATTGGTCTACATGTGCACAGCGGACAACACGGTAGCAGTGGTGTTCGGATGGCTCATCGCTTGCATTGCGGTGCTGTTTTTCTGCGGTGTGCTCTTCTGGTACAAGAAGAAAGGAGGCAAGGAGCTTTGGTACGACTTCTTGGAGCGCAAGCGCGTTGCGCGTGAACAACGCAAGGCTGCTGAAGCTGAAGAGAAAAAGTCGTTCATCGGTGAAGATGCTGCGTAAGATGCTGCTCTTTTACAGCCTGATTGATTTACTCTTTCTTAAGATCAGTACATTGATGTCCCTTCAATCTAGCGTTGTAAATAGTTTTTTTGTGTCGCAATGATAAGCATGAACTCTAGTACCAACGGAAGGCTAAACATTCAGTGCTCACATGTCCAAAATGTGGTTTGGATGTAAGTTTGTCCACAAATACTTCCCAGATGCGATACAGCATTGCTTTGCATATCAAAGATGCGAGATGAGGATTGTTGAGCTGGACAGAATAACCGAGGCAAAGAAACGGAGTATAACTCGCCTCTCATGATAATGCCTCTGGGAACTGCACATTGTGTTGGTTCGATCGTATAGCATTTCGTTTTCAGACAAGCTGCTGTTGTAGGCCCGAGTTATTATGACATATCGGGCATTGTTAATCCCAGTCGAAGCCATTTTGGAGCTAGTAGCGTGTTGGGGTGACATTGTCACTCAGACGTGCCGTCCAATGATGGCACGAGCTTCGTGGATCGCACGTGCTGGAACCGACGTGAGTTGCATTTTCCAGCCTCGTCTTCTACTGGTTTTAGTTCTGGGGTCGAGATGGGCATTGAAGGTGGCAAACTACTGCGAAACGAGACAACATGATCGTCGTGTAGGCCAATCTGTACCAGTAGCAGACGGCGTCTCGAGGAAGATCACCAGTTCTGGCCAGGAAGAAATTCCGAGGCGTACTACATGTTCTCTTCTTCGAGTTCTCCCGCTACATAGTGGCGACTCGTTAATCTACGTAGGCGATGCCAACGGGCCCGCCCCGACGTACACAGCCTTCAGGTCCGCCATGTCGGATTTTTGGTATCAACTGTCTCGCAAGGCACATATTTTGCTATGATACCTCCAGATCTCTTGACTAGTAAGTGTCGCTGCAGCAATTTGCCAATCGGTCACTGAAGTGCGCAGCTTCCTCGGTTGTGACCTGGGCGACAGCCTGTGAACCACGAGCCTGTCATCTTGTGCTGTCATCCCCAACTGAGTTGTCCTTCGAAATGGCGGATCCAAAGTGGGGGCATCCCAGACCTTCCTCGTGCGCTGTGGCTGAAGCCAGACGAACGAAGTAGCTACAAAGCTTACAATGGACTGGTTGGTGTCCATGGCCGTCGTGGCAGCGCAGTTGGCAAAAAGCGTCAATGACGTACTTGTACTTGTTGTACCTGTATGGGTCAATAAAAATCAGACCTGGATTTTCGGTAGGATGACAGGCAAATCCTGACTGAAAACGTCCGTCGTGCCTTTCTCTGGTCGTAAAGTTTTTGCCAGCTCTTCAACATACCGCCAGTCACGGTACGGTGTACGAAGGAAATCACTTAGCGATAGGTAACCTGTAGCTATCAGGCAGGAGCAACAAGCGATGGCGCAACAGAATCCACCCGCCAAACGATGGAATGGATGGAACCGAGATTACTGACGGCTGTTGTCAGGACTCAGGTGCAAGGGGCTTCGACTTTGAAGCTATTTGTGCATGAATGTTGCAATTGGATCTTTGTGTCGCGTCTCACCGATTAAGCGCGTTTCAGATCCTAATAACTGTCGGATACGTAAGGCCCAAGTTTGCGGTTTTTTCTGCATCAAACTATCATCGGTGCGTAACAAAACTCGATACTGAAGATGGCCAACTACCAAAAGATTATTGACACAGCACAAGCGAGTTTCACATAGCGCTGAGCCATGAGCCTGGTACAGTAGCAGATAATGCTGTCGTTGTCTGCATGAGTTGCAGCCTGCAACTTGCAGGTCCATCATGGACCCCATGTGCCTAGAAGTACATGTAATCGAGGGCACTGCGCAATTGCAAGGCTCCAGTCAATTCGACTGTCGAACCTTAATTCACTTCGTTTACCCACAGCAAAGTGTTACTGTCTATAGTCATTTTCACCGTAGCAAACCTCTTAATGGTCTCGCAAGGCCAACTAAATCAGATAGTTTGCTTCACTTAGCTTTGAGTCTCACGCTGTTCGATAAAGCTCACCAGCGTCACCAACCACCAGCGATCCAACGTCCCTACCGCAAACCTCATTCTTCAATCCTCCTCCTTCCGACTAAGCACCTCCACTGCTTCTACGTCTCCAGAATGGGCTCCTACCTCTCCATTGTCAACAACACCGACGACCCGTGGACCTGCAAGATCGGCCCTGATGAGGCTGCACTCAAGATCGCC